GCTCACAGGGCCTGTCTCCCGACACTCATCTCTCAGCCTGGTTGGGATCGCCCATCTCAACATAAACAAACACCAGCTCTTTAAAACCATCATTCTATTTCTTTCTTTTTTTTTTTTTTCTTTTTTTTGCGGTACGCGGGCCTCTCACTGTTGTGGCCTCTCCCGTTGCGGAGCACAGGCTCCGGACGCGCAGGCTCAGCGGCCACGGCTCACGGGCCCAGCCGCTCCGCGGCATGTGGGATCTTCCCGGACCGGGGCACGAACCCGCGTCCCCTGCATCGGCAGGCGGACTCTCAGCCACTGCGCCACCAGGGAAGTCCCATTCTATTTCTTATACATCAACTATCCTTCAAATAAAAGTGGAAAAAAAATCCTATTATTCTACTTTAATTTCTCCAGCTTTAAACAACCTGTTCTCAATCCATGTATCATTCTGTTTGGGGGGAAAGTCTGCTTTTTTTCTCCCACAAGGCTGCGTGTGTCAGTGTGTGTGTGTGTGTGTGTGTGTGTGTGTGTGTTTATACTAGTCACTTTGTAATCAGCCTGTGTTTTATAAACATTGCTTTTGGGGCCACTTTCTACAAATCAGGATGTTGCCCGCGGACAGCCTCCCTCTTGGGAAGAGGGCAGTGGTGAAAAGCAGGGTAGCAGAGCAGAGAAGGCCTTTGCTCCAGGGATGGTACGTGATGTGTTTAACCTGTGTTTGGGGAAGAGGGGAAAGGTCTCGATTCCGAGCCAGGGTCTCCCATTCAATCGCTGTAGGACTGAGTTCCTGGACCCCTCCACGCCTTAGTTCCCTGTGGTTTCCCTGCTCAAAGTGAGGATAAAAATAGCCTGTACCATAGCATTTTAGTGACGGTTAAATGAGGAAAATGGGTGTCAAACATTTGGCTCAGTGCATGCTCAGTGCATGTGTTTAATAAATGCTCACTAGTATTAGGTATTGTCACTGGTCATCAATCAGGAACTGTTGATTGACAGGTGTACGTACAGCAGGCAGGATGGGGCACCCAGGAGGAGGAGGGGGGCGCATCCTACCTTCAGCAAACACGGGGCCTACTGGAGTAGGAACACACAGAGTTCCAAGGCGGCGTGTGCAGGCGGGACAGCATCCTCCAGGGGGCTGAGGAAATGCCAGGTCAGTGGAAAGAGCCTCCTGGCATTGGATTAACCAAAGGCAGCTTTACGGAGGAAGTGAACCTTGGTGGTGGACTTGAGAGTCGTTTGAGGTTTGATTGCTGGAGAGGCAGAGGATTAAGATGAGGTCTTGGGTGGGGAAGCAGGTCTTGTTCTCAGAGCAGGAGACTGGAATAGGGACCCCATGGCGGGAGCTTCAGGCAAAGAGTTGGGGGGTAGAATGAGGCCAGGTTGGGAAGTTTCGGGGGCTCAAGGGCTGGGAACCACTGTGAATTTTCAACCAGGGAAACATTATGATGCACAGTCAGTGCTGCAGGAAAGTTGGTGTTGGAGCCCTGTGGGTTAGACAGCAGAGAGCACTTCCTGGAAAGCGGGGAAGGGGGATGAGGGCACCTGCATTGCAGGAGGTGTCGTCGGGTGTCCTGCGGTCCATGAGGAGCCTTTCTCTGCAGAGGTGGAAATGGAGTGGCCAGGTTGGCGGGGGGATAGCGGGGTGGGGAGGGAAGGCACAGGCCTGCAGCTCTGGTACCCCCTCCCTTCCCACCCCCCCACCCCGCAGAACTCCTGGGACCAAGGGCAGCACTTGGACAGCAGCCGGGAGTTCACAGAGGGACCGAGCTTGTCTACCTGCTGTGCCAGGACTGTTAACAAAATTGCGAATGACCTTTGAATTACAAGGCAGCAGCTCCTCGCTGGGTCGCAGAGTAAGAAGTAGCCAGTGGCGACCTGGAAAAGGGTTCCTGCAGGCTGTTCTTTCTCGGTAGGTTTCCGGGGGGGGCCCATCTGGGGCCAGGGGGCAGGTGTGGGAGGTGACATCACTTCCTAGGGGACACCTAAGCTGCTTGAGTCCTCGGGCTCTGGGGGAGGCCAGTCCTGAGCAGCCAGGGGTGGTTTTGTGAACAGCCAGTGACCTTGGCGGGCGCTTGTCCCACGGGTGGGGTTTTCTGTGGCATCACTGCTCTGGTGTGTGGACAGCAAGGAGACGCGCCTTCAAGGGCGGAGCTGCCGCATCGGCCCCAGCCCCCAAGCCCCTCTCCGGGTCTCCCAGCTGCTCGGGGTGGACACGGCCTCTTAGGGAAATAAAACTTGTGGCTGGAAAAGTCCCAATTCAAATATGCACCCCTTTGGCTGTGACAGTAAAGTGGTCTCAGTAAGGACCCTGGACGTGCGCAGAGGGGCCAGAGTACAGCAGGGCTACACCCCACCTGGCCACTCAGTGGTTTGGGGGATGCTCCCCCCACAAGGACCCTAAACAGGGTAAACCATCACCCTCATTCTGGATCCTTGTCCCCCCTTGATTTTTCCTCGAGGCTCACTGGACCTGACATATTACATACTTATTTGTTCATGGGTGTATCTCTGGCACATAACCAGGCCCCCAAGATGCATTTGGTGAATGACTATTTTGAATGAATGAAATAATGTGGCAGGAGGGCAGAGTAGATGTCTGACCAGCTCGTTCTGGTCCTCAGGAGGGGTCCTGACTGAGAATGTGGCATCCTCCCCTGGCCCCGAAGAGAGAGACCCTGGACCCCCCCTGCTTAATCCTGCCCTGTCCGCTCGCTCGTTCGGCCAAACCGTGGGCCTCACAGCCTCCTTCCTCCCCAGCCGGGTGGGGCAAGACGTTTCCATTCTGCCCATGCCAATGAGGCCAGTCGCTGGGGGGGTCACGTCTGCCCGTGGGAGAGAGC